AAAATTCTGTCATTATTTACTCAGTCATGTTGTACCAAACATGTATTAATTTTTATTTATTCTTGTGCTGAACACATAAAAAGTTATTTTGAAGTATGTGGGAAACCAAACAGTTGCTGATCCCCACTGACACTACTAATAGTAGGAAAAAATTTTTTTAAAGTCACTGGGGACCAGCAACTTTTTGGTTTCCCACATTCTTCAAAATAACAAGAAAGAAACTCATTCAGGTTTAAAACAACTTGAGAGTGAGTAAATGATGACACAATTTTCATTTTAGGGTGAACTATTCCTTTAATGTTAATAAAATAAAATGGGAAAAATAACTCACTGCTCTTGACTGAAGAACTTTAATACAGTTGCTAAAGTTCATCAGTAATAAAATAACTTTTTCAAATTTTCAACAACTTTTCACCTCATATCTTTTTGCACCAAATAGTATCGATAACAGTATCGATAAGTACCGCTATCGATAAGGAGTATCGGTATCGATAAAATGTAAACGATACCCATCTCTATCGGAGACACACAACAATTCTGCTTTGGCTTTGATTGGAACCATTTTAATCAGTGAAATTGAGCAAAAACAGTCAATATTGTGTCAATTTTTGTTATAGTAATTTACTGACACAGTACATAGTAAGAAGTATTAATAAAATATCATATTATACTGATGAAAATAGAGTTGTGGTGCCAAGTACTGGCTGTAGTGTAAATGCTTATGTAGTTATTGCAGTTAGCCTCAGTGCAACAGTCTTTCTCCTTAAGGTGGATGGTGTTAGGGAACTGAGGAGCCTGACAGCCTGTGGAAAGAAACTGTTGCACAATCTTTTTGTGATGAGCTGTATGGTATGGAACTTCTTGTGGGATGGGAGAAGAGCAAAGAGTTTGTGGGAGGGCTGGGTGGGATATTTTGTGATGCTGCGGGCCTTGTACACACAGCGCGTTTGATAAATGTCTGAAATGGTTGGGAGAGAAGTTCCAGTAATTCTCTCTGCAGTTCTTACAATGCATAGCAGGGCCTTGCGAAGCATTCCAGCTGCCAAACCAAACAGTGATGCATGAAGTTAATATGCTCTCAATGGTTCCTCTGTAAAACATGGTCAGAATGGAAGGAGGCTTGCCCTTCTTAGCCGCTGCAAAAAGTGGAGACATTTCTGTGCTTTCTTGGCCAGTGAAGTGGTACTGAGGGACCAAGCTAGATTGTCTGTGATGTGCAGACCCAGAACCTCGTTGCACCTGACTGTCTCTATAGGAGACACATTGATGTGCAGTGGAAGGTCGATGCTGTGGGACTTCCTGAAATCAATGGATTATTTATTTTGTTTTGTCAACATTCAAGAGACAGATTGTTGTTCAGGATACAGTTACAAAGGGAGGTGCTGATGTTGAATGAGCTCAGTTTCTCTGTGAGGTTCTGAGGATTGATTGTGTTGAATGCTGAACTTAAAGTCTATGAACAGCATTCTGACATAACTGTCCCTCTCCAGGTGTGAAAAGGCCAGGTGAAGGGCAAAGAACATGGTAGTGTCAGAAGAGCGGTTGGGTCGGTATGCAAATTGGAGAGAGTCCAGAGAGGTGGTCAGCGTGGACAGCGTGTTTCTCATTATTAGCCTCTTGAAACACTTCATAATTATTGGTGTGAGTGCCACAGGGCACTAGACATTGATGTGGGTCACAGTGAACTTTTTTGGAACCTGTAACACACCTAAAATTCGTATGCAACGTTTTTGCATTCGAATGTGGATTTTTATTTTAAATTCGACGAATATTCGAAATTCGAAAACAAAATTTTGACAGCCCTAGCTCAGGGAGTTGCTAAAGAAGTTTTTTAGAACATCGACCCATTAATCTGCACATTGTCTCAGCACACTGACAGGATCTTGAGGCCATGACTTCACACTGTGTGGACATGATATAAAGATGCCATTATGTTGACAAAGCCTTGTGGCCTTAAAATAATATCTTAGAGCCACAACATATTGCATTGTGACTTCAAAACTTCAAACATCAAAAAAATCAAACATGTCCCTTGAAGCTACAGTTCTGCTAAAACACAAATGGTCTTTGCACTTTGCTTGATTTCACAAACACACTTATGTCTAAGATTTAGCATGTGTTTGCTTAGAAATCCCAAATCTCTTTAGCGCTGCTCAGTGTGACATTACATGTATGATTTTTTTTGCATAGTACTGCATTTAAATGCTCATAAAATAGCACCGCATGATGTTCTATAAGATGCAGCTATTGAATGTGAATATGTGACCTGAACCCAAAGTATCCTTTAGGTTGCGGGCAAAGTGAAGTTTTGATGGACCGCATGAAGATAATGAAAAAGCGCCTGTCCATGAGCTTGCAAAGTGTACGGCGTGTGGACGAGAGTCTCTCAGAGCTTCCTGAACATACCGGACTGGATGAGCTTCCCTTGTCACGAGACAGTGGTGAGAACAAAGTTTTACAGAAACTATGCATACAAACACATTCACACACTCATTTAAAGGAAGCATTTATACACTGGATATTGTTCACACAGATGCATGAATGCTCTCAGAAAGGATGTGTTAAAAAGGACACAAAGTGTGTTGAATTCTTACAGTTTTAGGACAACACTTGTTAATTTGGGCACATTCCCCGTGTTAATGATTTTGCAAATATAACAATAAAAACCAGCAGTAAATATCCAACACTGGACAAAACTGTTCTTTTTCCATTTCATGATTAGGCATCATTAGGCAAAATGGTGGCATATAACACCACCTTCTTATAATTTACTTATTTCCAAAATTTGTATCTTGGATTGATGTAGATCTGGTCATCCAAAAAAACGGAATATCATAGGGTTGGGAATCTGACACACCAAAAGGAATGTTTACAATGTTTACCATCCCGTACAAAAACCACCACAATATTTTAGCCCACTTTTGGGAATAAATGAACAACTTCTCCAAAGATCGGTTCCTATTTAGGACTAGATGACAACCTCAGAATTGCTCCCTATGTGTGTTCACCTTCACTGACTGCGTTTGACACGTGGAGCTCAGTTCTCCACTTATTTGGACAATATTGAATTGGACAGTATTTTCGCTACAGTATATTCGCCTCATTAGGCATAGCTCAACTTAAACATCCCAGCCTAGCTATACTAAATACCTGACTGTCATCTTCCTTAGCATTCTGTGTCTTCTTCTTCTTTAATAAATATTTTAACAAATTTATCTGAAAATGCAATCAAATATATTTTAATGCATACCCTAGTAGCTAATAATTTTACAGAGATTTATTTAAACAGTCCTTATGATTCACTGAGGTAGTTACCTAACTGATAATAAATGATCAATTAGCGCTCTTCATGCCCCCTAAACTTAAAAAGGGATAACGTTACCTGATTTCAAGCTGGAAATAGGATACCGTTAATCCTTTATGTATGTTAACGTAAAGGATCTGCAAAGTTGAAAGTGCACAATAAATAAAGTTATTGTCACACAAAAGAAAGAATAGACTCTGAACAGCCGAAATGAGTCATCAGTAATTCGATTCCCACTTCTGTGAAGGCTACACATTACAGGGTAACACATTTGCACAATACCCGCCTATGTTGTACGTTGGCCCTTCGCAAACAGCTTGACCCACCCTCAAACACTGCAGCTTGTTTGTGTGGTTACCATCATGTCGAGAAGATGCTGTGTCCTACGCTGTGAAAGTAAATTTGTTTTATTTTCACTTGCAAAAGATGAGGCTGCAGAGAATCAGTGGTTAAATTCACAGTAGTACAACCCTAATCTTTTTTTGTGTTCGCGTCATTTTACTGACGACTGCTTCTCTAATCAATTCAATGAGTTCAATGAGGGATTCACAAACACTTGCTCTTGAAAGATGGCTCAGTACCTAGTTTATTTGGACCACCTGGCTCCACTGAATCACAGCCTGTAAGTATAATAAATAATAGATATTTATCATTTTTATCGGGAGTTCAAAATACAGAACTATGGCAATGGGCTTATCATTTCTGACATGCGCTGTACGCGGTCGACCAATCACAACAGAACGGGCCATCTGACCAATCAGAGCAGAGTAGGCTCAGGGAAAGGAGGGGTTTAGAGAGACTGAATCTTAGAACTGCTTTGAACGAATCATTTGAGAATCGCTGGGAAACAAGGTGATATTAAATGTATGTTTTGAGAAAACAAAGGCGTTTTTTGAACTTGCATGCATGTAAACCTATTGTAAGAGACTCCTAAAACAATATTAGGAACCTTAAAAATGGCATAATAGGGGCACTTTAAATAATAATAGATTGGCTCTGTCATGGACAGAATCATACAACAAAGAGGATGGACAAAGTGTAGATATTTGCTAAACATGACAGGGGTTTACATTTATTTTACAAAACGCATAATACCAGTTATCTGATCAGTTTAGTAGCCTATGTGATGTAAACACACATAAGACTGGCTAGGAATATTAGCCCAACTAGCTTCAGAAGAGGCAGATTACCTCATCAACCTAACTTGGTTAATATATTGTAAGATGATACAATGTCCAGCCAAGATGTTTTATCTGTGTAAAACACTGCAATAAAACCAGACAAGACAAACGCAGAGTGGGCCTGTTACCCAGCATTGTTAAATGTGCGCATAAATAAATAAACTTAACGTTAGCTGTAACTCTGGTGGTCCTCAATCAGTCACTATGAATGAATGAATGAGGCATTTTTATATAGCGCTTTATTGTGTATTTCTGTACACCCAAAGCGCTTTACTATAATTTGAGGGCGTTTCTCCTCAAACACCACCAGTGTGTAGCATCCACTTGGATGATGCGACGGCAGCCACATTACAACGGCGCCAGTACGCTCACCACACACCAGCTACAGGTGGAGAGGAGAGAGAGAGCCAATTCAGTGGATGGGGATTATTAGGAGCCCATGATTGACAAAGGCCAGTGGAGGGAATTTGGCCAGGACCTCTACTCTTTACCAGAAGTGCCATATGATTTTTAGTGACCACAGAGAGTCAGGACCTCGGTTTAACGTCTCATCCGAAGGACGGTGCTTTTTACAGTTTTGTGTCCCCATCACTATACTTCTGTAACAAATCAATCCACTGAAGGCGAGTTGAAGTGAGAACCCAAGTGCAGTTTATTTACAAGTGATCCAAACGATAATCCGAGACTTGACATGAACAGACTTGACATGAACAGACTTGACTTGGCATGGACAGGACTCACCAACAGCAGAGTTACAACATCAATACACAATGAAGACTATGGGAACATGATGGCTACTTATATCAGACAATGAGGGTCACATGACAAGAACAATCCAATGGGAAACAAGACACATGACTAGGACAACCAATCCGAACATAACACAGACAAGGGAATCACATGACTAGACAATAACCAATGAGAGCATGACACATACACAAGGCAGAGAGACATGAGGCAAGGGAAGCATGACACAAACAGGGACCATGATTAAACTCCAAAATAAAAGACATGAAAACATGAACCAAAACCCAAACCCCACATTACAACTGGGGTATTAGCACCCACACAGACCACAGGGTGAGCACCCCCTGCTGGCCTCACTAACACCTCTTCCAGCAGCAACACAGTTTTCCCAGGAGGTCTCCCATCCAGGTACTGACCAGGCTCAACCCTGCTTAGCTTCAGTGAGCAACCAGTCTTGGGCTGCAGGGTGATAGTGCAGTGTTTCCCAAACTTTTTTCTGTTGAGGCACAGTTTTGATAAGTAAAAAATCCCTTGGTACACCACTAAGCACTGATATATAGCCACAAAAAAAAAGATGGAAAAGGGGAAAAAAGTTTTTTTTTTTAAATTAATTTATTTTTTATAGTGAGTTGGTATTTTGGCTTTATATATGATCAGACACTTGCTCTTAACATTTTATGAAAATCGTGCTCAAATGGAGTTATGAGGTTTTTGACCAACGAACGATGGCAATGTGTGTTTTGTCTGTCATTAGAACAGCCGTATCTGAAGCAGTAAGTGCATCACATTACATTTTCATCAACATAAAGTTTATTGTAGCTATATGGGAGCTCAGATTTTCTTTTTGTTTAATACATTTGGCCAAAATCTCATGATATAAAAGATGAACCGCTATGCACAGGATATTTAAAACGTACAAAGTATATTTGCTACACCTTGACGGCAAATGCTATCTCTTCTACCCTCTTCAAACACGCATAAAACATTTATAGCCTTTCAAAATTAAAAGCCTTTATAGACATAGTGTTTCTTGAGCAAAGAAAAGACACGTTTGCACCTTTCAAAACTCGGACTGTATCATTCACCCACTCTGCTCCCTGGTTTACTCCTGACCTCCGTCAGCTAAAAACTGGAGGACGGTGCTTGGAACGCCTTTATAAACGAACTGGACTTATGGTACATAGAGAGCTGTATAAAGAGCATGTTCTTCTTTATAAAGATGCTCTTTCTGCTGCCAAATATGATTTTCATTCACATCTAATTGAGTCTAGAGGTAGTAATACTAAAGCTTTGTTCTCCACTGTAAATCGTATTCTGAAACCACCTGACAGCCTTCCTGCACATCTGTTCTGCATTGCTCAATGTGATGAATTTATGTCTTTTTTCAGTGACAAAATAAGCGCTATCCATCAACAGTTGGCCTTCTCGCTAAACCCATATTGTAATTCATTATACAGTGTTTCAACGGATTCCCCTCTTATTTTTCTTTCTTCTTTTACCTTGCCATCTGAATGAGAAATCTTATTTACAAATCTAATTCTTCCACATGTTTACCTGATCCCATACCAACTCATCTGGTAAAAGCCGGTCTTCCTTCTTTCTCCTCTTATAACCCGTATTATTCATACCTCCCTTAGCGCCGGCATTGTTCCATCATCTTTTAAAATAGCTGCTATAACCCCAATTCTTGAGACCCTAAGAATTTAGATAACTTCCTTCCCATCTCAAATCTTCCTTTTATTTCCAAATTTCTCCCACTTGGTAATATCTTTTCGGTTACACTTTATTTTAAGGTGTCCTTGTTACAGTGTAATTATACGTTTAAGTACTGAGTAATATTAATTGACTACATGTACTTACTATATGGTTAGGGTTAGGATTAGGGTTACTTGCATGTAATTATGCATAATTAATTGTATAATAGTAATAAAACAAGATTTGGTTTCACTTTATTTTAAGGTGTCCTTGTTACAGTGTAATTATACGTTTAAGTACTGAGTAATATTAATTGACTACATGTACTTACTATATGGTTAGGGTTAGGATTAGGGTTACTTGCATGTAATTATGCATAATTAATTGTTATTATAATAGTAAGTACATGTAACCTGTAACAAGGACACCTTAAAATAAAGTGTTACCATCTTTTCTAACTTTGGTAATAAATTTTACTGTTACACTGATGATACACAACTTTATGTATCAACTA